TTCCCAGTAAATTGACTTTAGAAACATTTGTTTGTCTGATTGAGGAAAAGACGGTGGTGTGTTTTTTCTCCATCTGAGATGACTCATCTCTACATTTCTGTGCTCTAAATAATTTGTAAATATGGCATTTAGCATGAGTCTGTTTTGTTTTAGTTGTTGCTGGGAGCCAAGGAGTTACAGATGCTTTACAGAAATATCATTCACTATCACGGGGTTTGCAGAAAAATCAAACTGTGTTATATGCAAAATTGGAAGTTTTAGAAACAAAAATTGCAAATTTCAGTTCTCAGGCAAGTAGTATTTAGTTACTAAGATGAAATTTATTATGAATATGGAAAATTGAATTTCAAAGAGTGTGAACTAAATTTATTATTGATGCTTTCAGGTAACACCAATGCAGTACACCCTCCATGAGTTGCAAGAAAAGTTAAAAGCTGCCCCAGAACTTGTCAATGTGCCACAGAATCTTAAAGATTTAAAAGAAAATGTTGCATCTTTTGGTAGTCAAATTAGAGATTTCAATACTACTGTAACTGAACTTAAGAATCAAAATAGTCAATTGTTAGAAAAAACTAATATGCTAGTCAAAAATATAACAAACACTGAGGTAAGAGGTTTAAGTAATATAAGTATATAGAAACTGAGTGGTGAGTCAATCCGATTTTTATGAGTTTTTCTTATGTTCACAGCAAACAGTTGAAATGCTATTGAATGCAAGTCAGCAAAATCATGGAACATCTGCTGCTTATGGGGAAGAGACAAAAGCCATCCTTTCTTTGACAAATCAACTTTCTCAAAATATTACCAGAGTGAATGAAACTCTGAGTAATAAATTCCAATGGATAGATGACGAACAAAAGAAAGACAAAGTAATTTGAAATTTTAGTTTTTCACCCTTCTGTCAAAATTATTGTGGTTCGCTGGTACAGAAATAGTTATTTTCATATTCTGCAAAGGATTAAATTAGAGAGAAAAGTTAGGCCCCAAAAAGATTGAGTGACAATTCTTCCAAGTTAACAAAGCCCTATATAAACATGTCATACAAGGCGTATTCCGAAAGTAAGTGCCATTAACAAAAAAAAATATAAGAAAAATTGTTTGAAGCCAACAGTTTTTATGTTTACATGAAAAAACATTTCTTAAACTATTTTTCAATATAGTTTACGCCAATGTTCAAACACTTCTCGTAGCGGGTGACCAGTTTTTGAATAGACAAAGAAGAATTCAAAGAAACTTCCTGTCAGCATTTTTCGTCTCATTGTCAGATCCAGAGCGCTTGCCACCTAGCTATACTGCGATTTCTGCAACTCTGCCCCTAGCAGGTATCAGCTGTTGGTGGTTTCATCCAATTGGGAACATGAATTCACTATAGTGACATTACCATGGTGAAGTTCAAGCTCCTGATTTGATGAATTGAGACCTGCATCTCCTTTTTGGTTCAGCTGCATCAATGCTGTTATCAAACATAACTACAGCAATTAAATATATTCATTAATCACTTTTATTCCTTGTTCGTTTGTAGTTGTTTTTTCATCTCCTCCAAAAGAATATCTGTATGTCAGTTTACATGTCAGTTTACATTACAAATTATCGACACACAATGCTATGGTTTTGTGTTATTGCAAATATGTTTTACGTACTTTTGTCAAGATGTTCAAATGTGTGTTTCAGAAAGACTTGGAGGAATTGCAGGAATTGGGACAGAGTATCAGTGCAAGAGTGACCACTCTTGAAGGAGAGTGTCCAAAATCATCAGCCAAAATCACTGCCTTACAGCAACAGATTGATAATATAACACATTTGGTATGTACTACTTGCCTTATCAAATCCCCTTTTTCTTTCATTCCATCAACATATGAAATAGTATGGGCTAAGAATGAAAATTAGCGATGATAAATAGGATTAGAACAATGCTTGGGCCCTGCAAAAACCTCCCCCTCCCCCTCCTGGCACACCGAGTTAGCTGGATCCAGCATCGTCATTATCTCTGACCGAGAGGTTCTAGGGGCTCAAGTCCCAACTGTGACAAATTTGCATCATAGATAGCTAGCTTAAATTCAGATGGATGTCGAGAGGAGAATACTAGCTGCCATCTGCTCAGATCAATTTTTTTTCCGTGGTTTCTCCCAAATTCAAGGCAGATGCTGAAGTAGTATCGCAACAAATGAGTCACAGTTCGCTTGATTTTTCCTTCCTCGTCCTTGACCTACCCGCTCTCCTTACTCTTGACACGCTACACTTACATGCTCTGCGCTACCACACATGTGGGGACACTAGTTGAGAGCTTAGAGCTTGTTCCAGCTGGAGTGATGCCCCACTGGGAGAGATACCTGGTGTGGATTAATCTTGCAATTGGGTCTCCAATCTTACCACCAGGCAGAGTGAGATAGTTTTGATTTTGTTGAAAAGCAGGTTAATATTTAAATTGAAGGTTCGGGAAAATATCTCTTCTTAATAGTTGTAAGTTGTGTTTGGTGTAGTTTCATTTCATCATATAATGTTCTTGGTTGGCTTTTTTACCTAGTTGATGATATTAATATCAATAAATTGTAAGTGTCTGACATAGATAGAAATTACACACTTTCTCATTGTTGTCTTTATTCCTTTAGGTTATGTCTGATGAAGGACAGTTACGTGATTTAAACAATCGTTTTGTGCTGTTTCAAAGCAATAACTCACAACTACGTGAAATGGTGAATAATATGCATGAAGCAATTTCTCAATTGAGTTCACAAATGTCGACCTCTCCAGCAACACCAAATGGAGAGGTGCCATAGTAAATCATCAAAGTAAGTGAAGTTGATTTGTTTAATCTGTCTTTTTATTTCACCCAAAAACTCATTATTTGTGACAATTGGAGTTTGTTTGTTTTTTAATATAAAACACAGGAATCACAAAGATCAAATTTGAACATTTTATGCAAACTTTTTTTGTTTTGAATAATACTAAAATAAATAAATTAACAATAATGAGTATTTTTGATCTCTAGTTATTAAATAGTTAAAGAAAGATACAATAATTTATACCGTTTATCTTAATCTGTAAAAAACTACATGCTGTAATTAAGCTTTATGCGAGTTAATAACAAATTAACAAATTTTAATAATAAGTGTACATATTTTAAGATGCCACTAAAAGAATTTTAGATATTTTGTGAAAGAGTTATATTCCATGATAATGAAGATGCTGTCAAGTCAACGCTGTTATTCAATCAGAAATGAGTACTGAAAGATACACTTGTGACCCTTCATAGGCATAAGATGAGTTAATAAAAGTATAAAATGCAAAATTTTTTATAATTTTATTGAGAATT